GGGGGGGGGGGGGGGGGGGGGGGGGGGGGGGGGGGGGGGGGGGGGTGGTACAGTAGTACAGACGACGAGTAACTCTCAGATGAGAGTTCAGCGAAGAAGGAGGTTTGAGGACGAGAGCTCCGAGTCGGAGGAGGTCTACAAGGAGGAGAAGGCGGTGGACAGGGAGGCAAAGGCGGAAGAAGAGGAGGATGGATGAGGAGGGGGAGGAGGGGGGGGGGCGAAGGCTCTCGACGCGAAGTCGCTCGAAGAAACGGCGGTTCAGACTTCTTGGTGAGGGAGGTGGAAAGGCTTGGGGGAGTGAATAAGTACAACGCACGGCAAATTGCATTTGCATACGGCGTTGCACGTACGTGGCGAAAGTGATGCCGCCGCCGTAGGCTCATCGAGAGCCCGTCTCCGGAATAATGCTGCCTATGGATGGTTGTGGTGTGTCGTTTGTGTGTTTTGTGTTATTTCGCCATATTCGCCCAATGTCAAACATCGCGGACTTGTCGCAGAAGCATTGAGAGCTTCTGAGCTATATTGTTTATTTAGCTAGGGGGATTGTCCCCAAGTACTGTGCTTCAAGACTTGAAAACTAACCAGAAGTGCCCCCAGCCCATCACAGCTATCATTCGAAGTGTTGCAATCTTCTTCCTGTCCCGCATGTACACACCAAACAACTACTTTCTTCAGAGGTACCTGGGACCAAGATCCTTTGTGCTCGAATGCGTGCGGTAAACTCCAGCACAAACATGCACACGCAACGGAGAGGGAGACAGCCAACAGAGATAAAAAATATGTACCACGAAAAAAATCAAGCTTTTTTCGTACCGGGGGGGGGTAGATGTGAAGGATTCTTTTTGGTGCGCCCTTGAGCCGGCATACATTTTCGTGCGTGTGTAATAGGTGGAACGAACGGCAGAATAGTTGGTCTGCAGTCTACCTGTAGCAAACATACGTATCCACATTTTACTTGAGGTTGAGGAAGCGGTACGGAAAATGGTCAACAGAAGGGCCGTCGGGCCGGACGACCTACCGGCTGAGCTGATCAAGCTTTTCCTGGACGGAGATCAAGGTCTCCTCCGCGAATTCCGCCATTGTCGTGGACGTGTGGCAGACTGGGGACGTACCACAGCAGTGGAAGGACGCCACCATCAAGGTTCTGTTCAAGAAGGGGGACACGATGGAGTGCGGCAACTACCGGGGCATCTCGCTCGTCGCACACGCCGGCAAGGTGCTGCTTAAGGTCGTCGCTACACGACTGAGCCACTACTGCGAGCGAGAGGGCATCCTCCCGGAGGAGCAGAGCGGTTTCCGCCCACACCGGTCGACGCTCGACATGCTGTTCGCCATCCAGCGGCTCCATGAGCTCGCGAGGAAGAAGAGTACTACGGTGTTCGCGTGCTTCGTCGAGCTCACCAAGGGATAGGATTCGGTGGGCCGAGACCTACTGTGGGGCGTGCTCCGACGCTTCGGCGTGCCCCCGAAGATGCTGGCGGTCATTCGCCACTTCCACGAGGGCATGAGGGCGCGCGTCCGAACCGACGACGGGCAGTACTCGGAATGGTTCGACGTGGGCCAAGGCCTCCGACAGGGATGCAACCTGGCCCCGCTGCTGTTCGACTTGTTCTTTGCCGCGATGCTCATGGTCGCCGAGGCCGAAATCGACAAGGACCCCAAGGTGACGGCGGACATGGTCAAGATCGGGACACAAGTGGAGTACACGGGCAAGAAGGGCAGGTCGGCGGGGAAGAAGACGACGGTGGTGACGGACGCGGAGGCCTTGTGGGCCATGCTCTACGCTGACGACGCGGCCATCGTCTCGCGCTCGCCGGAGAGTCTCGAGAAGATGATGTCGGTCATCGTGCGCGTGGCCGGCCTGTTCGGACTGATGGTGTCGGAGCCAAAGACGGAGATCATGTGCATGCTGCCAAAAGGGATCGAGGAACGCCCGTTCACGGTCAGCGCCGCCGGCCAGACGTACAAGCAGACAGATCGGTTTGTGTACCTCGGACGTACCATCTCCGCGGACGGGAAGGCCGACCGGGAGATCACGAGCCGCAGCTGCCGAGCGTGGAAGTGCTACCGCCGGAACAGTGCTTCGATGTACGACAGGCGACGGGCCGACCGCCAGCTAAAGATCCGGCTACTACAAGCTGAAGTGGTGGAGACTCTCCTGTATCGGTGCGCCTCGTGGAGTCTAACAGCGGAGCACTACACGAAGCTCAATAAGACCCACTGCCAGTTCCTTACACCTTGCATCGGCTGGAGCAAGCGGAAACGCTCAGACCGCCCCCTGTCCTATGCCCAGGCCCTCATCCAGGCAGGCTGGGAGGAAACCATCGAGGCCACCGTGCGCAAACGGAGACTGTGTTTCGCGGGTTTTGTTATGACCATGGAGGACAGCCGCCTCCCCAAGCGCATGCTGTTAGGAGCGATGGCGGGGGACGTGGGATACCGGGGCGGGCAGGAGAGCGACTGGGTGTCTCGACTATCTAGGAGAGGACCTCGTGGTCTTGAACATGGGAGACGAAAAAGAAGGGGGTAAATGTAAAGAGAGCGCCAAGGACCCGGAGGTGTGGTACAACAAGGTCGAGGACGGGGCGGCATGGCTCATGAGGAAATGGCACAGGCAGGAGGCGGAAGCGTCCGCGAAGCGCCAGCGCGCGAGGGAAGCAGAAGCAGAGGGTACGGCCATCTCAGGACCGAAGAGAAAGAGAGTCGGGGAAGCGGCGTTGGGGGGGAAGAAACGGCGACCAGACACTGCTGTAGAAGCGAGTAGGACGGCCGAGGCAGCACTTGTGGCGAACTATGTACCCGGCTGATGTTGTTGCGCCCTGTTTCCCTCCCTGCTGTATGCTATACTCCTTTGTGTATGTCCTTTTGTATTGCCTTCGGCCTCTCTCTGTGCTGTGTTTCTATTTTTCATTACCTCCCTGCCTACTCTGCTGTGTTGGGTACCTTGATCTCGCTTTTGCTGTTGCCTTTGTTTTTGTACGTTTGGCTGTCTGCCCGTCTGCCGCATCTTACTCCCATGCCCTTGTGCGTAGTGCCTGGTGCTGGTACGTTACCCCTTGATTTTTTCTTAGGCGGGTGTGGGAAGCGTCCGCCTTTTATTTTTGTTTTCGTTATATTTTGATCGGTTTCCGAGGGCTCTTGTCTCGAACGGTCGGTGCGGCAGCTGTTGGAGTATTTCTTTTCTTTCTATAATTTTGTTTTCTTTTTCCGAGTGGCTTGTACACTATTTTAGTTTTGTGTTTCCGCGGCGTCGTGTGTGCCGGGTTTTGAGACCACGGGCTCCCCTTTTTTTGTGGACTACAGAGCTAATATGAGAAACAACAACAACAACTTTCTTCTGTGACGTCAGGCACACCACACACCGACGCGACAAAGGGTTGTTGTTCTAACGTTTCTTTGGCGTAGATCCCGCGGAATCCAGCAGTTCTTTCTTTTCATTACACGTATGCGTGTTGTAGTTGCATACACATGCTTGTACACGCAAGCCGATTACAACATCACAGCCCGCCCCGCCCCCACCACTGACCATCGAAGCCGCGGGACAGAAATACGCCCAGACGACCGAGTTCCGGTACCTCGGTGGCCTCGTCAACGAACATGGCGACCTCACCCGGGAGATCAACTACAGGAGCAGAGGAGCGTGGGCGTGCCTCAGGCGATATGGCCGGGAGCTCTTCGACAGACCGCAAGCGCCATTCCGACTCAAGATCCGCCTGCTCCAGGCGGAGGCGATGGAGGCAATGCTGTACGGTTGCATGACATGGTCACCACTCAGCGGCCACTATCAGACGCTGCGGTCGATACACCACCGACTGCTCCTTCGAGTTATCGGGTACGAGCGCAAGAAAGACACCTACCGGCAGCTCTCTTACGCCCAGACGCTGAAGAGGGTCGAATGTCAGAGCGTTGAAGCCACGATCTGACAACGACGCCTACTGTTCGCGGGAGCATTGGCAAGGCAGCCGGACGGGCGACTCCCGAAACGACTGATGTTCGGCGAACTGGCAGGGGGGGAGAAGCCACGTAGGGGGGGACAGGAACAGAACTGGCCGAAGTGTGTGCTCGACGACCTGAAGGCATTCGGGGCCGACCACGGATCTACGAAAACCGATCCATGTTGTTTCGGAATCCCGGTACCGAAAGACACGGCACCGACGTTAAAGTGGACGGAAGCCGCGAAGGTAGACGGGGGAGTACCCTGGCATGCGGCGGTGCTGCAGGGAGTTGAGAGGTTCATGACCGCCTGGCGCGAGAAGGAAGAAGAGGCCAGCCGACAACGGGCGCTCAAACGAAACCACAAGCCACCAACCAATGGGGCGGGAGGGGGGCAGGAGACGGACGAGACGGCGAG